CCTCTGTAGTACACTAAGGTTTTTTTCTTCAAAATAACAAGGTAAACAGACTAAAAGATATAAATAGTTCCCTCAATTCCAATTAGTGCAGCATAATTCCAATTAGCTTAGTGGGCTAAGCCGTGTGCCTGTAATCACAAGGTCGCCGGTTCAAGCCCAGCCTCAGCACGTCTGCGGGTCCTTGAGCAAGACCCTCAATCCCCAGCTCCCTGGGCGCCACTACGGGTGGCTGCCCTTCGCGGACAGCTTGCTCTACAAAGAGCAAGTTGAGGGAGGCGTAAAAACAATTTCCCCACGGGGATCAATAAAGTATCAATTATTATTATTATTATTATTATTACAGCAGTAAAACTAGAAAACTCAAAATGAGTAATATAATCAAAACTCCACTTCAACTTGCTTAACATAAATATTCACACTCACAACAAATAAGAATCACAATTCCACTTAGTGCAGCATCACAGAAAAACTATACACAGAACATCCAGAACAACGGAAATACGAATTCCACTTGAAAGTGGGACAGCAGCTTAAACATGGAAAAAATCAGGTGCTACGTATTGGGGGAGCAAAGGTAAAACCTGAATATCCAAATAAAATCGCAAGGCACTCTTTTGTTATAAAGAAGTTTACATTAAAATATTTTTTTTTTTTGGTACCATATTAAATTAGCATTAAGTACTAAAGTAGTATTGAACGCAGGTCCGTTTCTACCGCCTCGTGAAATGCTTATATTGCAGACATTACAAGGGGCTATCGGACGCCTTTTGGTTTTCATTTTACACTATACGCACACTGCAGACATTTCAGAGGCTTGTCCTCTGTGTATAACATCACACGCTCTCAGTTTATGATACCTGTGTGACCACTGACTTAAAACAAAGGATCAGGCTAAGGCTTGTACTCAATACAGTCAATACTGATCAATTAAAAAATGCAGAGATTGGCTCCCAATCCGATACTTGAGTTTGGATTGGGACATCCTTACTCAATACAATAAACACTGGAGGCTAAGCCCTGTAATGTATTGTGTGTTCAGGCCCACTTACACTGAAGGGTTTCTGGCTGTACTTGTTTTTGCAGTTTTTGTCAGTATCTGGATGTGAGCACAGTACTTTCACCACCTCAGGACACCCAAACTTGCAGGCGAAGTGAAGTGGAGTTTCAAAAGCCTGAAGGAGTAGGAGACATACCAGAATGACATTTCAGCATCACAATAACTGCTCTACTGGAGGTATCAAGGTACAGGTGGGTACTGGCTACTTTATCAGGGATGTTGAGGTACCAGTAAGTATTCACTGCTTTGTCATGGGTGTTGAGATACAGATGAGTGTTCACTACTTTGTCGAAGATGTTGAGAAACAGATGAGTACTTATGGCTTTGTCAGGAGTGTTGCGGTATCAGTGAGTACTCATAGTCAGAAGTGTTGCGGTTTTAGTGAGTACTCAATGCTTCGTCAGACGTGTTGAGGTTTTAGTGAGTACTCACTGCTTCGTCAGGCGTGTTGAGGTTTTAGTGAATACTCACTGCTTTGTGAAGCGTGTTGAGGTTTAAGTGAGTACTGAATTCTTTGTCAGGAGTATTGAGGTATTACTGAGTACTCACTGCTTTGTCAGAAGTGTTGTGGTATCAGTGAATACTCACTGCTTTGTCAGGAGTGTTGAGGTACAGGTCTACAACATAGCGGATCCGGTTCCTCAGCATGTCTTCCTTGTCGTCAGGGTACATGTGACGCATGAATTCTGGGTTCTCCAGGGTGTCCAGGAGAAGCTGTGCAATACCAGGCTGGTTCTCCTTGGCAGCCACGTGCATGATGTTGTACCGGCAGCCCTCCTGCAAAATCCAAGTGGCTATTGGTAACATAGCCCTGTGCATCATAACTGGTAATGCTGTATATGTTGCCATGGAGACTGTATCCTTCTGTACCTGCACTATAGTGGGATTGTCTCCTGAACCAATGAGGTAGCGAGGATTGCTCCACACTAATTCGCTGAAGGCTGCCCAGTCCCCATTCTCAACGGCTTTCCTCAGCTTGCCAGTCAGGTCCTGTGTGCGTGGGGTCTTGTAGTTGTTTGCCTTCTCCCCATTTAGGTGCTCCACCTCTGGATTGGGCGGCTCATCTAACGGGACAGAGATGTCACACAGGTATCGCCAAACCCATGCTTCACTTCATGGCACCAGAGCTTCAAAAGTCACGCCGCTCAAATATTTACACCCCTGAATCAAGGTTATTAGGAAACAATATGCAAAAGATAAATTCAGCTTACAAGCAGAGCACACTGCTAAGTTTAATTACTGGTTTAAAAGAACTTGATCTCTGTGCCCAGCTGGTTTACACTGTTTCCTTTAATGACAGTGAGACTGTCTTTATAGAAACAAAATATTGCCAAGATTAGGGGTGTAACGATATTACAAACCGAACCGAAATATCGCGATACATGAACCACGATATGTATCGCGAAACTCTCGTGGCGTACCGCGGTACTCTCACGCCCCCTGCTGCCCATTGTTGAGGTTGACGTCACTTGTCTCTAACTAATTTAACCAATTTAAACACATCTTTATTTT